ATTTGGAAGAAATCTCTAGTTAAGAACTATTAGCTCTCTACTATTAACTCTTTTATTAACTTTCCTTGTTAACTGCAATCCTCTACTAAATGAGCAATTTTGTTGATCAGGCAAAGTACTCTACTCTCCTATGACGAACTCTGTCAAAGAAGCTTCCTTAAATTTTTAATTTTTAATTCCCACGCTGGTAGCAATTTTCGGAAGTTGCCGTTAGATCACCATGTCACTTTGTTAAGATAGTAACTGCAAATCGCTATCCGTGTGTTGGAAATTTGTGTATCTAGACATAGGTATGATATCTACTGGACGGTTGGCATTTTAGCCATCATTTATTTTTTCCTGACTCTCTCGAACGTAATCGCAGAGACCAGAGAACCGCTAACACGTGCTTTGTAATAAAGAATTATAAAAGTAATACCACTACGCGTGATTTATTAAATCAAAGAACTCTAACACACTTGACAACTATCGATAACTATTCGGTAGAAATCTCTAGTTAAGAATAATAAAATTTTAACCATAAATATCTCAAAAACTATCGAGTAATTGCCCTTGTAATATTTTCCTGAACTGCATAATTAAATCTACAAACCTGCAAAGTTTCAATTAAATCAATGACCCAAAGGACTGCACTCTGCTTGTCATCTGCGCTCAAGTGCGAAATTCTAAACGCAATTATTCGTATCTCGTATATCTATCTCGTGGAAAAATAAATACACCATCCAAGAAAAATTTCTGCAAGTGTCTTCCTAGCTTTTCCCTGTTTCACCTGGACGCGATGCACGGTCGAAACTTCGAGGTTTCCATTTAATATTCGAAACTGTATTTATCAACCGAGGGTTTTATTAACGAAGGTAGCCAATCGATCACGGGACGTAAAAAATGCCCGGGTGACAACAGGTATCCAGCATGAACATTCGTATAATGAAAGTGCCGGCGAGAGTGGTCCCATTGTGTTTGGTGGTTTTGACTAAAGGTTTATTGCATGTGCCAACTTTGACAGAGGTCTTTATCCAACGAACGCGAGGCATTTATCGCGTTACCCCCGACAACGAACGGCCTCTGCCGTGGCCCATGCTTTTTAACAATGTCCCGAGCGACTTACGGACCCGGCCCGCTTTAACTTACAATCAGTATTCGCTTTGAAGTAGCCCGCATACTTATCGCCTTGATTGACGTACCCTTTTCGTGGTGCTACTAAGCGAGAAGCATATTTACATGAAAATAAATGCACCTTGCCGGGCCGGCCACGAGGTACGTCACGGCAAAGGAAGGGAAGGAATGATCGAAACGAATTCGGCTCGAACCGCTGCGAAATTAAACCCAAACAACGAAAATGAATATCCCCGTACCTCCTGCCGTCGTTCAACCGATCATCCGCAGATATTATTCGGTTTTTCAAATGAGATTTCCCGCTACTTTTTATTTTCCGGACTATCGTTCCATTTCGACAGACGTGGAATAGCGGAAACGCGAGGATATACGAAGTTTATCCTTCGATAATTATTTTTCCTCCATTATTGTCCTTTTTATTTCATCCTTTTTTTTTTTCTTTTTAATACTGTGAAGAAATAAATAAGTATATACCTAAAATCAACTGTAAATCGATAACACGTCCCACACAATGTTGGAGAATAAACGTTGCGTGTGTGAGGGGTGTGAATCATTAATCCTTAAGGACACTCTGTGATATTAACCAAGGCGTACTGATTATGATAAACCAAAGTAAAAGTAAAATCCGTGAGCATACCTAATCCCAACACCCAACAGTAAAATTATATCAAATATTATCCAACTTGGAAAGATTCGAATTATTAAAATTTTTTAATCATCTTCCTCTCTTTCTCAGCGAACCTGTGATATTTCGAAAAATTCGAGGTAGTAAAGAGAAAGATCGTAAAAGTGTATTAAAAATTATTAGGGTGCGATAATTCTGAAGGCCCGGTTTTTTGACCAAGGCGTACTGATTATGATAAACCAAAGTAAAAGTAAAATCCGTGAGCATACCTAATCCCAACACCCAACAGTAAAATTATATCAAATATTATCCAACTTGGAAAGATTCGAATTATTAAAATTTTTTAATCATCTTCCTCTCTTTCTCAGCGAAACTGTGATATTTACAAAAATTTGGAGTAGTAAAGAGAAAGATCGTAAAAGTGTATTAAAAATTATTAGGGTGCGATAATTCTGAAGGCCCGGTTTTTTGACACGATGCCGTTTTTTTCAGTGCACCATTTCGTTGAAAAAAAAAAAAAAAGAAAAATGGAAAAAAATACTGGCGTATTAAAGAGATCGTTCAGACGAGAGAAATTCGACGATTCGACGGAAAACTCGACAATGCAACGAGGATAGAGCCAGCCGAAATAGACGATCGCGATGACCAATCAGTTCCTGATCGAGATCTTAGAATAACCCTGAATGAATAACACGGCTGATTTTTATTCCATCTAACCAACGGGACGGTGGATTCGAAGTAATAGGTTTTCGGTCAAATCGAATCCTGCTTCTCTATCATCGATAATTCAGATGCAACTGTCGGCTTCGATCTTTAATTCCAGTTCCATGTTTCATTTCATTCGCGTCGGGCTTCGAAACAACGATGGAAACGATAAAAACGATTGGGTCATAGATGGAACGAAGATGTTCCGCGGCCCGGATGACATTTTTATCTGGCGTGCGGAATCACGCGACGAATCGATTAAACGCGTTGCGTGGTGAATCTGCATGCCAAAAAAGAGACGTCTCTATGGGAAAGAAAACAGAAATCGTGATATAATCGATTTCGAAATGACAAATTCGACATACCAATCGTCGCGTCCACTTCGGGGATAATCCAATTCCAAAGAGATCGAGGTAATTTCTCGACCTCTCGATACGCGAGAAGCAGGGATGGCTTTCCCGAAACTCGCCCGAAAAGAAGAAATTGTAGAAAGTTTCGAGTTTCGGGAACTCGAAACTTTTCTCGTGACTCCGAATTCCCGAGAATTAGGTAAAAAGGGAGTACGAAATTGATGAATAGAGAGAAAATATCTCATTACGCCACTATTATTCTTCGAAAGACTGTTCTTTTTTGACGAGCTTCGTTATAATAATAGTCGGCAAAAAGGGAAATGAATTAGGTCGAGGAAGAGTTTAAATATTAATAGATCTTGACCAGCAATCGGAATTAAATACTTTTCTATATTATCATAACGTTAATTTATGCATTTACTGCTAATCTTAATTTAAAATTTTAACTTTGTAATTTATCACCGAGAAACGCAATTCTCGTAATCCAATTAGAGAACAATAGAGATCTATCTACCAATCTATCTGCCTACGCTATTGCATTTCCGTTTCTACTGTATCTAACTACGAGGAATAAAAATTCGCCGAAAAAAGTTTCTAGCATCGATATCAAAAATATAAAAAAATTCAAGAGCTCCATCTGTCCAAGCTCTGAAAAGTTTCAAATTCCGGTTGCAAAAATTCAAAAAATAAAATTCCCGGTAAAAATCAGCCCCAATAAGAAGGAATTTTTATCCGACGTGGAATAAACGCGTGGCAATTTTAGGAGAAAGAGAAAAAGGAGGAAAAATAAGCGTTATATTACGATGGCGGACAATTCGATGGAGTAAATAGCAGCAAACAAACTTATCGTCGGATCATGATTCGCGCTCGCGTTTTGCACATAATAGCCGTCAGCAGTGTACGACACTGAAAATAACGCGGAAAACCGCACGCAGAACCGCTTACGAGCGTATTGTCTGACAAATATAGTCGCAGGCCATAGGACGCTGCACTTATATATTTACATACATCATGAGCGTCGATCGCATTGTACGATATACGGGGGCCACGGTGTTCGATGTTAATTTATAGCCGTTGATTTTACGATCGGCAACGGGTTAGGAAAAGAATTTCTAATCCGGTGGGGCAGCGATGCGTGCAAACGGACGACGCGCGATATTTATTTCGATCAAACGTTGCACAGGTAACGGGGTGAAGGGGGTGGCAGATTTACTCGACAACGCGGCTTCCATAAATCGTCGAATGGCGAGGGTCGTAGGCGCTATTAGCCGAATGTGTCGTTCGTTACCAGGTCCCGTCAGCGTGGCCGAGTTCCACGGAATTTTAATTATTTCCATGCTATCAACGGGTCCATGCCATCTCGTCAGACACGGAAATCGGTATCGGGCAACGGATCATCGCGCCAATCGAATCCGCGGCCATCTTGCTTCTATTCCCAACTTCTATTCACCGGACACGTCGAATCTAGCGGGTTCGCGATGCGCGAAAATTCGCTAGACTCGCCTCGATTCTTGCGATTTTTCATCGAAACGACGGAAAAAAGATGGCCGACCACGATAGGAGCAACTCCTGATCGTGGGATGGGGAGTTTATGAAACGGGGAAAAATCAGGTGCACCGAATTAAAAAAGGGATCGAAAGCTCGTGAAATCCGATGACACAGCCATTAGTCACGGTCCTTCCGAGAGGCATTATCTGAGACTCAGGCCTCGTACACGA